CCCCAGCCCCGTATGTTTAAATCACTGAGGAGATTAAATTTGTGAATTAATACATGCAGGGTGCAGGGGCAGTGGCTGGCGAGTCAACGCCTGCCAGAACTACGGCTGCCTACGCGCTGCCTTGGGCTCCCTCGCGCGCCTCGGGGCAGGCCCCGGCTCCTTGGCCAGAGACGTGTCGTCGTGCGTTCTCGTCCCCTCGGGCCTCGCTCTGAGCGTGGGTTCTCTCCCCAGCGCGCCGCAGGTGTCCGCGGACGGGGCACTGCGCCCAGCTCAAGGGGACGTGGTGCCGCATCGGTCAGGCCGGAGGTGCTTTATAAAACACTGTGATGCAGCACAGACTCGCTGGTTCCGTTCTTTCAGACTTCAGCTTCGTACTGCTAGGTCCTGTCCTGTTTCAAGTATCGTCTACCCATGCTCCTTTTACTTTCATGTTAGATGGAGTAATCTGTTTTGTCCTGCTGCCAGTGTAAAGCCAGTATAAACATAGTATCATGTACTTTGGCTAACATTCAACGAAACGCGGGCTTGTGGCCTTGCCTCAACCAAATCAAACACACGAAGGTGGTTCATCTGGAACTGCATATAGTTTTAACGGTTGTGGAAGCAGTTTTATTGACTGGGAACGTGCTGGGGGCACAGTAGCATCATTTGAACATGGAGATCTCAATTGTGAGAGCTGCAAAAAGCCCAAGAATTCTGTAGTACTAGGTTTCAGGAGTAAGAAGATATTTTCAGTTCAAGACCCTTGAAAAACAGAGCTGGCCAAGATCTCAAGAGGTTATCTGCTCCGGTTTCCCCTAGTTTGAAGCTTAAAGCTTTTCAAAATCAAGTTTCTTGCAAAAATAAGAAAGCTACAGGACATGTCACACAAAGTTGCCAGAACCAGCTAAAAAATGTTATTATCTCCACCTGATGTATTTTCTTGCTTGCATGAATGGGGATATCTGTGTACTCCCTTTCCTTCTTGCGATCATAGTTTAGACTACCTTCCAGGCTCACAAGGACTGATGCAATTTCTTTCCTCCACATCAGGGTCAGCTGTATCTATCACTCTCATAATGTTTATTTGAGCAGTAGTCAACATCAAATTAGTGGCTATGCGCTGTCTCTGGGGTTGCTCTGAGGGCAGGGGAAAGAGTCTGTTTATACAAGGGAAGCTATGATGAAACACATTGCTCAGTATTTGCACAGCAATACAATTCCTGCTCCATACACTACTTAAGTGGATGAAGCAGGAATATTTAAATTTCCACAAATTATGGAAAGACAGGAAGCAGCCATCTCCTCCTGAAGGCACTCGTTTTCTTGAGGCACCGGTTCATGGCTCTCCTTGTGACGTGTTTGCAATTAGCCTCCAAACTAGACTTGCTGGGCAAGTTTTCTGCTTTGTTCTGCCTGGCTCTCAGCTTGTAAGTCACTGAAATCTCACAGCCCTACCGGTAGCATGCGGTCTGGCCCTCTGGATCCCTAGATCTGAAGAAATCCTGGAGGAATCAGTTACTGAGGCCTGCAAGCTTCCTTCCAAACCCCTCGAGGTCCCCACATCTTCTAGATTTAACCCTTTTCATGATTTCTTGGCAGAAACTCAAGCTGTTTCTCTGTTGAGAACTTGGCGAGTTTGATACAATAAAAGTCCTTTCTGTTCTGCTATCAGTTTTGCTCCCAAAGTGCATTGCAGGGTGTTGAGGGCTCAGCTGAGAGCAGTCACAAGAGTCGTCTTCAGCTCCTGCAACGCTCAGTCTCACTCTCCTGACTCACTCTGTTGCCTGGTCTGCTCAGCA